CCCTATGGAATTTCGAGGCCCGCATATTCCCTACCCATTTCACAGATGAGCTCTCAGAGGCCCAGATGATAAAGGGGGCCGGAGAGAGGGGGCTCCCAGTGAACGGTGCAGAGGTGTGGCTGGGGTGGCCCTGGTAGCCCCCTCCTGGGCGGCTGGACGAACCACAGTCCTGCGCAGGTCCTTCAGCTCCAAGCCCGGGACCCCAGGCGGGCAGGCGGCTGAGCCGAGGGAGCAGTGGGGAGCGCTCAGGCAGCCCCAGGGCCTGGCCAAGCCACAGGTATGTTATGAGACGCTTCCTGTTGTGGAGACATTTCGGCGGGATCGGGATCGGCTGCCCCGCTTGCTCCCCGTGCCTCCTATCTCCCTGCTCTCCCAGCCTGCTCTCTGCTCTCTCCCTGGGTCTCTGCCCCTGATTAATTCCTCTCTGTGTTTCTGTCTGTCTCTCTCCAGCCCTGTCTCTGCCACCTCAGCAGGTGAACAGCATTTCTTGCTCAGTCTCTCCCTCTCTGGGGTCCATCCTGGGAGTCCCTAAGGCCCTGGCAGCCCCTGGACGCCCCTTCAAGCACGGCTACTTACCAGCTGGTGATCTTGGGCAAGTGAATTAACCTCTCTGAACCTCAGTGTCCTCATCTGTGAAAGGATTAACTGAGACGATCTAAGCGACAGCACCCCCAGGTGTGCTGCCCTGTCCTGCTACCCTGGTGGCCAGGAAGTTCTATCTTCAGTCTAACCTCAGTTCCTCATGCTGTAAAGCAACATCTCCTCCAACTCTTACAAAACTCAGGTGACTTGCTGCCAAAGGCCAGGACCTTGTGAAAGTTCCCTAACATCAATTTCCTGGCGTGCTAGGCCTTTTCTCAGACTACTTCTGAGATGAAACTGACCAGGGTCACATGGCCCTCTCAGGACCAGGATGGAATTATGGATCTTGGAGAGAAACAGAGACACTGCCCTCCTTGCTCACTGGGCAGGATGCCCACCCACAAATGCCTAACCGGGCAGCTCCAGACTTCTCCAGGGTTCCTGAGCCCCCACCCCCCACCTCTCTCCCAGCTTGGGAAATTGGAGAGCCTTTCCCCGCCCTCCTTTACCGAGTCTCAGCTGAAGGAGGTTCTGTCTCCCGCTCAAGGCCCAGGCCCCTCCACACCTCTTCCTCAGGGCCTCTCGCTGTCCATGGGTGCCTCCCTCCCCTCCCCAGTCTCCAGCCCCTCCAGCCCATGTCCGCACAGGCCTAACTCCGCCGCCAGCCCCCAGCCACCCACATCTCTTTCCAGCCTTCTCAGCCAAGCTTCTCGAAAGCATGTCTTTAGCCCTCAGTCCCACTCGGGCTCACTCCCACCCTCTGACCCTGGTGCTTCCTTCCCTCCAGCACTGAATTCACCCTGGGACTATGCTCCCCTCCTTCCTGGGAAGGTTCCTCCTGGAATTCCCATCTGCCACTCTGCAGACCCAGGCTTGCCCCAAGGGGCTGGCTCTGGCCTCATCTCTCCTATCTCCGTGTTCCTCCTGCACTTTGCAGCTCACACCCATCCCACCATCAGGGACTCCCCCATCTGTCTGGGCTGCCACCACTGCCCTGAGCCCAGACTCTGTGCTCAGTGATGAGCGGAGCAGGTTCGCCTGGCCGGCCCTCAGAGACCTGCACCCAAACTGCTGTCACTACTTGCTTCTCCCCTACTCCCAGGTGCCCAGGCCAGAAGCCCAGGGGCACTTCTGACCTTCCTTCCTTATAGGGCAGTCAGGAGTCCTTCTAGCCGGTGAAATGCCTTACTTAGCACAATAGAAAAGGCCACTCTCCCTCCTGCCAGCTCAGGCCCCACTCACTGCCGTTCCCGGGTGGCCTGTACGGGAGCCAACTGCACAACTGCACGTGACAGCCCCGTTCCTTCACCCTCACCCCCCAATCCAACCCGTCTCCCCTACTTCTCTCACTTCTGTTCCCTCTCCTCTTCCCCGCAGTCTCTGCCTTAATATAGACCTTGCAATCCCAACACGCAGCCCAGAGCCTAGCACGTCCCACCACTCCATAAAGATTTGTTCAATGAGATGGCTACTTCCTCCCCTGGACTGTCACAGTAGCCGGTCTCCCCCCCCTCGCCCTCAGCGTCTCTGTTCTCCCTGACACATCCTGTAGGTACTGCAACAGCGCTTCTCAAATGTCAGTGTGCACCAGACAGTGGCTGTTGTTTGTTTTGTGAATCCTCACCCAAGGACATTTTTTCCCATTGATTTTTAGAGAGAGTGGAGGAGAGGGAGGAAGGGGGAGAGAGAGACACAACGATATGAGAGAGACACATCGTTGGATGCTTCCAACATGCGCCCAGACCGGGGCCAGGGGTCAAACCTGCAACCCAGGCACATGCCCTTGACCAGGAATTGAACACCGTGACCCTTCAGCATGCGGCCAATGTTCTAACCACTGAGGCACAGTGGCCCGGGCGCATCAGACAGTTTTTTTGAAACACAGGTTCTTAAGCACCACCACCCTCAGGGATCCTGACTCAGTAGGTGTGGGGCAGGGCCCAGCATCTGCATCTCTAACAGCTCTGGCTCCGTATCTGTGGACTCACTTGGCTCTGCTCTGCCAGGCCCCTCACCTGCTCTGGATTCTCCAGTGGCTGCCTGAGACCAACACAGTAAATCCCATGTTATTCTCATGGGGCTTCCTGGAGGAGGAGGCAGACTTTAAACTCTGTAGAATGCGAATCAATTAAGATGGGAGGCGGGTAAAAAGGGTGGAGAGAGACTGATGGTGAGCCCCACAAAGCCCTGAGGTCACGAGGGGTGTGGGGGGGACACACTAACAGTTATGTGTAAGGGAGCCCTGTGGGTGGGTGACACGCCCATCTGTGTCCCTTCCTTCCGTCTCTGTCCCTAAATCCAGGTCCAGCTGCCTGTGATCAGGCATCTCTTGGTGGGTCTTGCCTCCTACCTCTGTGTCCCGTCCCATTTGTCTGCTGGGCTCTGTGGCCCTGCTTGTCCTTCTTGTCCTCTCCTATATGCTTGTGCCGAGATCCCTGTCTGAGTTCCAGGCTCTGTAAACCCCGAGCTGTTGGTCACTTGATGGGACCCTCGGAAAGACAGCATCTATAGCCCCGATGCTCGTGCCACCTTCAGGTCTGTGTCTGAGCTGCCTGACGACCCCTGGGCAGCCCCACAAGGTCCGCATGAGGGTTTGTGGGTCCAGTGCCCATGAGCTGTGCTCTCAGTCCCGCGGGATCAATAGGAGACTCTGACCCCCTCAAATCTCAATGTGCAGGTGTGAGGGCTGCTCCAAAGCCAAAGGGCTGCCTGGAATCAGGGAGCTGGGGGGAAGGGGCCGGCAGGCTGGGCCAGGGCTGCCTGGGGCCACCTCATCACCCAGAGTTCTCAGCTCTGGGAAGGTGGTGGGAAAGGCGGGCCTCCCTACCAGGCTTCACTTCCACCAAGAGTCCCAATGTCCTCACCTCCCAGACCCCAGGGGACCTCACTTTGGGAAGCAGCATTGGAAGGAGGCGTGAAGGACAGGTCAGAGTTCAACAAGCTCTGAGGGATGACAGTGGAACGTTTGAAACTGAGGGCAGAGCAAACAGCAGGGCAAGGAGCCTGGGGTGGGTATGCAGGAGGCAGGAACCTATGGGCCAGCGACTCGAGAGAGACTTTGGCTGGAGATAAAACTGGGCTTCACTGACAGGGTTCCTGCAGCCTGGATGAGGGCCATGGACTCGCCCTGGGGGAAACATCCACGTTTAGGGGGTGAGAGGAACCCGCTGCACCCAAGCCCCAGCGTTCTGATAGCCAGACACTCCAAACTTCGCAGTGTTTCCTTGTACCCGCCTGCCTGCCTTCGCCTGCATGTGCTCCCCTGATTGCCCTTTCTGTCTCTCTCCTCCAAGCAAACATGTTATTCCTCATTTAAGACCCAGTTCAAATGCCTCCTCCTCCAAGCAGCTTTCCCTGCCTCCCTCAGGGAAAACCTTCTCCTCATAGGCATCTCTCCCCACACCCCCACCTCATCCCTGACTGGGCTTGGCACATAGTAGGTGTTCAATACAGTAGGAGCACAGTAGGTGCTCTGGCTTTAGACCTCTGACTACCCACCTCCCACTTCCAGCCAAGCCTTCAGGGTGACTGCTCACAGGGCCCCTTTTTCTCTGTGGCTCTTCCAGAGTTCTCAGCTCTGGGCTGGAGCGGGCAGGGCTGGACCTCCCTCCCCACAGGCAACTAGGTCCACCACCTGGGCCCCAGCCTCTACCAATCTCTGAGACTAGACACCCAACTAACTCCCCTGGGGAGGAGCCTCTTGGGGCACCTAAGTGGCCAGGGAGGTAGGAATAACTAGATGAGGGCAGATGACCCAGAAGAGGCCCAGCAGTGGGCAGGACCAGGACAACAATGCATCCTCAGGAGTGTGCCAGGGAACTGGCCCTTCCCTGCCCGGGCTCAGGCCTCAGCTGGTGCCATCACTCACTTCCCAGCAGAGGCCCTGAGTTTCTAACCAGGCCTGGACATTGAAGGGTCCCCCCAGGCCCAGCCACCCCCGGGCCCCAGGCCAGGCCAGGCAGGGCCTCTCCGCTGCCAATCCCTCGCCTTCTGGTTCACATTTGCAGCCTTTTCCGGAGCGCCACCCGCCGCCCGCTGCCTCCCCACGCCTGCCAAAATTCCTGGGCCTTCGTGGCTTCCCCACGCGGTGGCGGCAGCGGCGGTGGCGGCTGGGCAGGGAAGGGGCCCGGCAGGAGCACAGCCAGGCGGCTGCACCCGGGCAGGCCAAGCAAACACAGGCCCACGCCAAGGAGCCGGGGAGAAATAGTTCACAAATGAGAAAAAGCTGCTTCCGAGTTGGGCCGAGATTTTAAAGCCCGGGCCGCAGGGAGCTGAGGTCACCTGCAAGAGGGGCTGCCTGCTGGACACCCCAGGCTGGGAGGGGCTTCCGCGCAGCAGGAGGGAGCAAGCTTAGGCGGCAGCCGGCAATGGCCTCAGCCGCTGGGATGTTCCTGCTGGATGCCCCCAGTCTAGCTTACCTTTCGGGTTGAGGGGCCGCTAAGGTCCCAGCAGAGGCGTGGCCTGAGGATGAAAGAGAGAAACGGTCAGGACGGTGCCAGAGCCCGGGAAGCCTTCTGCCCTAACTCACAGCCACCCCAGTGCCTGCCCTGGGCGTCGTACCAACAGCCCCTGCTGGAACATTGGCCCCAACCTCAGTCGCTCTCCTCAGGAAGCCAGGAGGTGGCTCCCTTCATTCATTTCATGCATACTGAGCCGTGAGCACAGGGTGCCTGGCCCTGACTTGATGGAGTGCCTCCTGTCCCAGGCCCAGGCTTAAGAAGCCCCTTCTGTGTGCCAGCGTTCATGCTAGAAAAATCCCTACTATGTATCAGGCCCTGGGCTGGGGTGCCCCTCCACAAACTAGGGTTCCTGCCTGGAGGAGCTCCTACTGTGTGGGGGACCCTAGGCTGGGCTTTGGGACACAGAAATGGCCTAGCCCCATGCCCTGTCCTGCCCTGATTTAGCTGGAAGCATCAGACAAGTGGCCACCACGCAATTGGCAAAGATCTCTGGGCTGCGGGAACACAGAGCAGGGAACATTGCCTCCCCTCTTGGTTTCCCCAAAAGGATTCATGTGGAAGGGACACTGGAGCTGGATCCTGAAGGGTGAGTAGGAGCCTGAAAGGCAGACAAAGTAAGAAAAGAAATTTCTGGCTGCTTGGAAGTAGGAAGCTGCTTGGCAGATCCAGGGAAGATCCAGAAGTGCTGTGGGGTTGAAAGGACAAGCAGCAGCTGAGAAAGATGCGGCAACCTAGTGAGGAGCCTTGAATTCCATGCTTGCATTCCTTGGGAAGGCAATGGGGAGCCATGGAAGGTTGTTGAGCAGGGAGGTGATATGGTCAGGACCTTGAATAGCCAGGTCCCCATTTCTGCCTCAATCAACCATGATGCCAGGTGGTTGCAAGCCCTAGTCCAGGTCACACAGCTGTCCACAGGGGAGCTGAGGCTATAGGCCAGGGCCAGGTGTAACTCATGGGTGGATGGGGAGGGAATACCCAGCCAGCCCACCTGGCAGGAGACCTACTGGCCGCGTCACTCTCTCCTCAGCTGCTTGCTCGCCTCTGCCTGCCCCCATGGAAACTCTGACATCCTGGCCCCGTCTCTCACTGTACAAGCAGCCAGATGCTAAAGCCAGCGGCACCTAGGCCTTCCCTCCAACTCGGCTGAGCCTGCCTCCCTCCCTACCACTCTGAACACCGTGACTGCACAGGTAGGTCTGAGGGCCCAGTCTGGCTGATGGAACTGGGTGGGAGGTCCTACTGCCCAACTCATCCCCAGCTTCTCTGGCCCCCACCCCCATCCCACCATGAGGCTAGGGGAGGGAAAGTGACATATTGGGTCTGGGTTTTTTAAGAATAAACATGGGTTTAAATGAGTGATGACAAGGAGAGGCAATCAGTCCAGGCCATGGAAACAGCATGTGTGAGGGTTTGGAGGTGTGAAAGCTCAGGGTGGAAATCAAAAATAAACAAATGAACTGACTAAACACAGCTAACATTTACTGTGCATCTACTACATGCCAAGTACTCTCCCGAGAGCTCTCAGGGAATTATCTCATTTATCCTTACAACAATCCAGTGAAGTAGCTACTTTGTTTTCCCTTTATACCAGCAGTTCTCAACCTGTGGGTCGCGACCCCTTTGGCGGTCGAATGACCCTTTCACAGGGGTCGCCTAAGACCATCCTGCATATCAGACATTTACATTACGATTCATAACTGTAGTAACATTACAGTTATGAAGTAGCAACGAAAATAATTTTATGACTGGGTCACAACATGAGGAACTGTATTTAAAGGGCCAGAAGGTTGAGAACCACTGCTTTATACAGATGTGGAAATCTAGGCACAGAGAGGTTAAGTAACTGGCCCAGGGTCACACAGCTCATAAGGGGTAGAGTCTGACTCTGAACTTAGGCTGTTGACTCCAAAGCTTGGGTTGTTAACTCCTCCACTATACAGGTGATGTGAGACGAGGAGGGCTGGCTGGGGTCGGCCTGAGAAATGCCTTGAATATCAGGATGAGAGAGCCGGGGCCCAGCTAAAAGCTGGCTCCCACACCCTCCACCCACGTTAGCCCTTTAAATCCCAAGTACATATTATGTACCAGACACAGCACTCGGCATGCTCCAGGCGTTCTTCTGTCACACTCTCCCATTCCCGCGTAAGGCAGGGATCACTGTCCTCTCTTCCTGGGGAGCAGGCGGCATCCATTCTCCAAGATTACGGGACTAGAAAGCACTGGGGCTTGCCCAGCCCCCGAAATGGCCAGACCCTGTGCACTCGGGCCTCCGCTCCAGGTCCTTGTCCCTGCTTCTCCGCCCCCACCCCGTGCTGCCTCAACCCAGATGGCAACACGGCCCTCAAGGCCGGGAACGGTGGGCAGCTCCCATCGGGGGCTTCAGGGGCCCACTCCAGTTGACCAGGGTTCCCTCCTCGGTCCTACACAATAGGAAGCTGGGGCGGGTTGGTGGGCCAGGGCAGTGCCTGAGCCAACTTCAATGGGACTCTGTTCTTAACCTCCACCCGCAGCTGCCTTCCCTAATCTCCTCCGTGAGCCTCTCCCCTGGCGATATCCCCTCCTTGCACAGAGCCTGCCACCAGCTAAATTCCAGGCCAGATGTGGGTAGGACAGTATGCACCCCCGGCCCCACCAGCTTCTATGAGCTGCAGGGCTCCCAGGGAGGACGGCCAGCGCCCCAGTCCTGCATCCTCATCCCAACTTTCCAAACTGAGCTGCTGATGGCCCCGAGGCCATAGTCGGCCTCTCCCAGAGGGAGAAGTCCCCGCTTTCTGAGTCTCTACCTGGAGCAGGCCCTGGGCTGTCTTGCCTGACAAATCACACGATGGGTTAAGAGCCCAGCTTCATGCGTTCTGCTCCCAGCCCCACCTCTGACTAGCAGTGACCTCACTCATCTGTGCCTCAGCTTCTTAGAGCATCTGTGAGGATGAAACGAGTTGGTTTCATACGGTGGACTTCAAGCAGAGCTTGACATAAAGGAGCGGTTAATAAATGTTCACTAGTATCATATTACTATATTACCATGACACCTCCCAAAGCCCTGTGAGGTGAGATTATTAACCCCTCTTTTACAGCTGAAGCAACTGAGGCTCGGAGAGAAGTCACGCCCAAGTTCGCCCAGCTAGCCAGGGGAGGATGGTCCCAGAGTTTGGACCCAAGCTGTGAGTCCACAGATGACCCACAGATAATGGGGACAGCCTCCCAGCTCCCTGGAGCTGAGGCATAGTGTGCCTGGGAGTGGGGCGGAGGGTGGGGGTCCTCCACACGCCCTCAGCCCCTCCTGCCTCCTCCCAGGTGCGCCCCCACCCACGCCCCTGCTGCCGCTGCAGGGGGGCGCTGTGCATTCCTGGCTAAGCGGGGGATTTGCTGTGCTCCCGGAACTATGAGAAGAATGTCTGCCACGAGCTGAGCCGTGGTCGCCTGTCAGAGGGCGCGTGGCCTGAAGGGCTCACACAGAGCTGCTGGGCGGCCAGGAGCAGCCACAGCGGGAGGAAGGACAGAAATCCTCTGGGTATTGAGGGCTGTGATGTTAGATGTGGAGAGACCTCCGGAGACCTTTCAGGAGAGGAGAAGTGACCCCATCCCCCACCACCTCCGCTGCGCCTCACCTTAGAGCCCGGATGGCATCTCGCAGGCGGATTATGGAGACCCAGAGAGTCACCTGAGGCCACACCGAAGGGACCAGGACCCCTTCCTCCCAGAGGCGGCCTCCCTCCCAGGGCCCACGGGGCCAGTGCCCAACCCTCACTGTTCTGGGCTCTCTCTGGGCCTGACCTTCTCATACCTGCTGTTCCCCTGTGCCCTCCTCCCCAGAAAAGCCCTTGTGCTGTGAAAGGGATTGGTGCTCTGTGCATGCTCCCCACTGGGCTCCCTCTCCTTTCCCACCACACCAGGCAGGGAGCAGGAACCGGGGGCTCAGTGGGAAGAACGTGAGCTGTGCGTGCTCACAGACCTGGGAGTGAATCCCAGTCCGGCCCTCAGCACGGTGACACGTGACCAGTGACCAGCCTCTGGGAGCCTCCACTTCCCTCTCTGTTAAATGGGTCACCACACTCCGCAGCGCGGTTACAAGGACTAAATGAGACAGGGACCTGGCACACAGTAGGTGCCCAATAAACTCTTATTGGTCCCCTCCCACAATGGGACAGAGAGAAGAATGGAAATTAGGGAACTTCAGTTGACAAGGTTCCCTCCACCCCAAGTGTTGAGAGGGGGGGCAGGCTCTGGGAGGAAGGGGGCCCTGAGCCCCAGGTCCTGGCCTTGGGACTCAATCCTCCCACTGGCTGCTGAGTGACCTCAGGCAAGTTCCTCTCTGAGTCTCTATAAGCCCATCCATGAAGTGAGCCCAGCTCTCCCATGAGGCACCAGCCCTCTGCCACCCCCTTCTTCTGCCCTCCAAGAGCCAGGAACTCAGCCCAACCAGGTTACATGGGGCGAGTCACCTCCCAATTAAAAACTTTCCAAGGCCCTCCCCAGGATCTCATCGGCGTGTTTAACACACTGATCAGAAGTCTGGGTGAAAGTGTTGCACACCGATGACTGCGTGAGCTGGGACCCTCCTCACCCCTCTGCAGGCAAAATGACCCTAGATACAAGTATTAACATTCCCATTTGGTAGGTGGGGAAACTGAGGCACAGAGCTGGAATGTCCCTTACTCAGGGTCACAGGAAAAGTAACCCTGGTCTGTCTGGCTCCCATGGCCATCTCTTCCCCTCACTGCATGTACTGCCTTCACTCAAGGCCCGCTGTCCACACACCACCACCCCGTAAATGACCACAGAACAGTCTGGGATTTCCTATTGGAGTGTGGCCTCCCTAGCTGATGTCTGGGCAATCATGTGTACACACATGACCTCCCACTCCCACCTGGGCTTCTGTACACACCCTAGGCCTCCCAGACACTACTCCCCCACCCAACTCATGGCCACACTCAACACCTAGACCCCCGCCCTCCCAGCTCAACAGACTCTTGAGTCCAAGCCCATGTCTCCCTTTCATCTGCCTCCTCTGGGGACAGACCAGTCACCCCAGGCAAAGCTCCTGGCCTGTCCTCTGTTCATCCCGCCAATCAGTCACTGAGGCCTGTCTAGTCTCTCTTCTTACTCTACATCTATTTCTTCCTCTCAT